AACACCATCAAAGCTGTGCCCTGAAGGAAACTTACACTAGAGAAACTATGTAGGGGCTGAACAAAGGAGGAAAAATAGCTCTCCACAGGACACTGGTAAGATAGCATACCAAAAACAGGAAGAGGAACATCCTTCTTCCTCCAGTGCTCCTCCAGGCCCTCTACTGACAAGGCTTGACATCATGCCAGGTGGCAAAACAGAAATATTGACAAGGCCCAGCACCATCATTCTGGAGCAGGCAACAGGAGTTGATATGGAGTGAAGAGGCAAAAAATTAACCATCAGCACAATAACTGTATTTTTCATTTCTCAATTCTTAGCTATTTTTATAGCATCTTGTAGTTATTTTCATTCTTTTTATTTATTAAATAATTTATATTTTTGTGTACTGCTTAAAGTTCTCTAGGCTCTAATCCTTTTAATAGCTTTATATAGTGATTCTGGTACATGGTAGGTGGTTTCCTTGAACATTTTTAATCTCATGGATTAACACTGATCTCATCTACAGTAGAGTTTTATCTGTAGAAACTCTGTCAGAAGTGTTTTGAAGAGAGATTTTGTGTTTGGTTGTGCCAGAGGTTCCAGGTATATATCATTAACCCAGGTACACTTGGAATTTTTTGAAGTGTGACTTCCTGAACTATGGTTAGGATTTGGGGGCGGGGAGAAAAGGATTTGGGTGGGGAGTAGATATCTTTCTCACACAGAGCCCAGGCTGATGGAGAAAAGTTTTGTTATTGAGTGCATATTTTACAAATTTTCACTTCCATTATTCTTTAATTCAAACTTTTAGATTATAGAGGCCAATCCTATCACCCCACCCTGGGGGCATGCAGAGCGTCAGCTGAAATGTTTAGTCTCATTCTCTCAAGAACCAAGAATCCCAAAATATCCTTATAATTCCTCTTTTTTATTTTTTTAAGGCAACATACATAACACTGTCTTTCAGTGAGCTGTAGATTATTTGCCACTTATTACTTACCTTGGATAAGTTACTAAACCTCTCTGTTCATCAGTTTCCTCATCTATAAAATGGGGATGTTAATAATAGCACCTCTCATAAGGTGTTTTTGAGAATTAAATGAGTAAACATACATAATGTACTAATAACATTGTCAGACTCAAAGGAGGTACCAATTAGCTACTTTTGACAATATTATTGATGAGCCTGTAGAAACAGGATGCTCTCTGGAATCTGTGACAAGTTCTGAAAGAGAATAAAAAACATCAAGTTTTAAGGCAAAACATGTCCTCTTTTTTCATTTAGGAAACCAGCCCTTGGCTTGCTACGGGGTTTTGACAAATACTAAATACCTAAGCGTGGGACATCATGTGACTATGTGACCTGAGCAGCTCATCATGAAATTATTAACAAAATAATTATTAACAATATACTAACAAAAAACCATAAAATTAGATAAGCCCTCAGCCAACCATACTCATGTGGAAATGGTATATATAAAAATAGTCCTAAAAGCATACATTGCATGAGCATTTGGCTCTTGCTACCAACAGGCATACTGTTAGGATCTCACAGGGAACTCCATTTGAACAGTTAACTAAGGGGTAAAAATTTCAGATCTGGGTTGCAGATGGTTCTTTATCATATTCTGGAATCGGTGTACTGCTGTGAAAAAGGACGATGGAATAGAGAAACCCTCCCCATGGTATATAACAATGTCCACTAGGCTTCAAAGGAGAGAGGCTGGGATGAAGATTCTATATTGCTCCAAGGACACAGGCTGAAGGGTTGTTGGGTGGGACTTAGAAGGAACAAGGTGGGATCCAGAAGTCAAGGAGGTTTGAGAAAATATATGTGGCCTCTTGGAATGGTCCCAGAATAAAAGCCTATTTGTAGCCCATGGCAATGTTTTCCCAAAACTCCATTTGATGAATTTACATGATCAAATAGTATGTTTGATAAGAATTCTTGTTCTGTGGATGCTAATACTATTGCTTTGCCAGGCACTCCTATGCTTTTTCTATGGCCATGATGGTGGGAATGATGTATGCTATGCACCAGCTTAACAGCATGGATTTCCCACACACTAAAGGACAACTGGCTACTTCCACGGCTAAGTGTTCATCTCGCCACAGCAGCAGCTACTTCTGGTCCACCCCTGATACCCATCTGGAGGATGCCATGATTTGTCCTTAATGGCAAAGATATATTGGGTTTGCTTTTCCTGCTCAGTTTCTCCCAACATGATCATCCATGAACTCACTGACTGGTTGCTTTCCCATCAGATTTTACATATAACATTTTTTTTTTCTAATCAATTAAATCATCTTCCAGCAAAAGAAACAAAGCCATTGGGCAATACCCAAGGGGTGACCTGTCGTATCATGAACCCCATTACCAGAAACAGCTAACTTTATGGATGGCTGAATGTAACATTAAAGACTCAGTTATGGTCTCAGGAGATCCCAACTGGAAAGGGTGAGAGAGAGGAAGGTTTTTGACAAGTTGTACGTTCTCAGAAACAAAATTTAATATATGATACTATTTCTCCTATAATCAGAAAAAGAGTCCAGAAACCAAGGGACAGGACTGGGTAGGCCTCCTCTTAATATTACACCTGTACTTAAAATTTTGAGCCATGCTGGTTTATAGGCTTTGGTATCCAAATAAGAATTCTTCCATTAAAGAACCCACTGATGATCCCACTTAATGGTAAGCTTAGGCTGTTATGTGGCAGTTTAGGATTTTTCATGCCATTGAATAAGCAGGCCTGGCATTTTGGTAATTAAATTCAAAAATTTAGTCCATAAGTTGCAAAATATCAACAGGATTGTAGAACTGCAGGAGGAATGGACATGTTAGACTTGGAGCTGCCCCAGTAATGAATAGGTTTGGGTTTTCTTCCTTTGGGGAGCTAAGTACTATATTCTCAAGTGCTTGAGCCATAGCTGAACTATACAGCAGGAATGGAGGTCAGGGGGAGACAATGTGTGAAGAAACATGATATTAATGTTAGGCAGTCAAAGGAGTGAATTCTAGTGGTAGGGATTTTTTTTTTTTTTTTTAATCTTCTGACCAGCATCAATATGGCCTTTCTATGTTTAGAAAATTCTTTGCCTTAGAAACCTCTGTGGGATTTGGCCAGGTGGGTCAAGCAGATCTTTCCTCCAGGGTTTTGCAACTAGAACTACTAACACCGGGAAAGAGGACTGTGGGGCATTTTTGTGGCACTAATAGAGGTACTTCTCAGAGGCTGCTGTGATGTGGCCCTTGGTGACAGCACCCTGAGTCCAGTGACATCAGTGTCAGCGGCATCCTGGGTTCAGCAATGGCGGCTGCAAGGTCTGCACATTAGCTCTATGGCATGGTTTTGGCTGTGATCCAAGCTATGTAGTCCCGGTTTGTTCTGCCCATTTTCTGAGCCTGTCTCTATGCTTTCTGGCAACTGTGTGAGTCACAGTATCCTTAAGAATTTCCTGGTTCAGGTTGCAGTTAGAAACCCTTGAATCTCTCACTAGCCAGCATGAGCTTAGAGAGGGAAAAAAAAATAGACTTTTAATAACTTGTATTCCTTTTAGACATTAGCACAGAGCCTTTTTAAGTGAGTATATCTGACACTGTGGCTTAATAATAAATAATGTGAACACTAACCTTTAAATGTTAAAGTTTGCTAAGAAATATAAGGCATTTACATGAAATAAATACAATCTATAAGATGGCATAAAATTAAATGCTAAATTGGGAACAGGAGGTGTTGACTTGGAAAGTCTTCCAGAAAGAGATGGGACTATAGATAATTCCTGAAGGATGAGCAGGAGATGGTATTCTGGATACAGGAACCAAAAAGTGTAGGAAGAAGACTGTATATTCACAGGGCAGCTGACCAGCCTGACTTAGGAAGAGCATATGTGAACCGAAAGCAATGGGAGGTACATCTGAATGGTTAAGAGGGAACATATTATTAAGGCCATGTCCTCTAATCAGAAGTAGAGAAATGCTCTATTTCCCCAAATATTTTATATCTATCTATCTATCTTTCAATTTCATTAAGTTAAGAACTCTGAACATTGGGTTAAATATTTTGCAGGGAGTCAAGTCTCTGAGGTAGCCTCCTCCCTGCCTATGTGCAAACTTATTAGACATTCTTTCCAGGGCCGATGGAGAAAAGAGCTGGCTGGGACTGAGGGGAGTTAAATAATAAAACATGAAGATAGTCCCAAAATATATCAATTTGTGTTCAATTTTCCTTTTTTTGGAACTTAGATTTTTTTTTTTTTTAATATTAAGCAGTGACAACTAATTGTAGCTTGGCATTGGCAGCGCAAAGATGAAGATTATTTCTTGGTGGCGAGGTCCAGTCCTGCTCTTTGTCCTCGGCTCTTAGAAATGTTCCCGCTCATTAACTTCAGGAAGACTTCCAGAAGTAAAGGCACATTTTAAAGTGGCTGAAAAGAGTTTTTAAATCCAACTTCCCTGGCTTGACAGGGAGATGACCACACAGTCCGGTCACTGGGTCAAAAATCAATTACAAAAACAGAGGGAGCTTTTCAGGTCTTTTATTTTTGCATTAGCCTTAGTAAAAGACGGACTCCAAAACCACAACCAAGAAGAAAGACAACCATTTAAAATACAGGAAATACAGTACTGGCTTTTTCTCTCGGCAGGATGGGTCGGCTGCCTTCCAGCCTCGTTGTGGCTCCCCCGAAGTTGACGGTGCGCTCTGTCGCTTATGCCCAGACCCCCCGCCGCCGCGGAAGCCCACGCTCGGCAGTCCCCGAGCCAGGGCTCTGCGGGGACGCCCTCCTCGTCCCTTCGCGTGCTCGGCTTTCCTCCAGCCGGAGCGGGCCTCTCCCCACCCTAGCCAGGGCCCGCGAGCCCCTCTCCCGCGTCTCCGGCAGGCCCCAGGCCAGGTGGGGACGAGCCGGCCCCGCGCTGGCCCCGGCAGTTCCGCGTCTGCGCAGCGGGCGAGGGGCTGGAGCGGGGCCGGCCCGGGAGGTGCAGGATGCGCGGGAGCCAATGGGCACGCTCGGGGGAGCCGGGCTGGCAGCGGCGGCGGGCCGGGCGCGCACTGCCGGGATGGAGGGCGAGCGCCTGGCCGCTCAGGCGCGCTCCTCCGGCCTCCCGGCTGGGGGCGCCACGGGGGAGAGCCCGGGGGTCGACGCCCCCCTCCTGGGCAGCGGCGGCCCCGCTGCCCTGCTGCAGGCCGAGGTGCTGGATCTGGACGAGGACGAGGACGACCTGGAGGTGTTCAGTAAGGTGAGGGCGGCGGCGGCGCGTCCCGAGAAAGTTCCAAGTCAACTCCAGGAGTTGGCACCGTGGCGCGGCGGCCGCCCCCAGTGCGCTCGCCCGGCCCCGGCGGAGGCTCCGAGCTGGAGGTGGGTGGGGTCTCCCCGGCCGCCCAACCCCGCCAGGCGGCTCGCCGCAGCCGGGGCTGCGTCCCGGCCGGGCCGCGAACCGCAACCGCGCCCTCCTCTGCACTTTGACCCTCCGTTCGGCACGGCCGTCGCTTTGTGGAGTCGGCAAAGCTGTGATTTTTCCCCCCTTTTTTCTCTTTCTCGGTTCTTGTCTGACGCGGACGCCTCCTCCGGACAGTTTCCGAACCCGGGAGGCGGTGGCCCGAGAGTGCCCCCGCCCTGGCCGCTCCTTTTCGGGCGCAGCCAGCCCAGCACTCTGGGAGAGATCACCCTAGTCGAGAGAAATTATTCCTGATTTAGTGGTACTGACTGTGGGTTTAAGACTGGGCTGACTGACACCGGGGTGAGCCTCAAGCCCGCGAGACTAGGTGGCGAGGGAGTCCCCTCTTGAGGAGCAAACGGGTCCCGTGTGTCCAACAGGAAGCTCCTCCGCTGCGGAGTTGAGGATTTTTCGGTGAGCTACTGCCTCCCAACCCACCGCCGGCCGCTTTCGTTTTTCCTTTCCCCGGGGAAAATCAGGACGAAAGGGCCCTCCTAACTTGCAGTAGAGTTGGAGAGAAAAGGACTCAGGTTAGTGGTAGACTTGTGGTGCCTGTACAACGGCTGGTTGTAATTTCTTTTTGGAAAAGAAAAATACCTTTCTTGCAGGGCTGTTAAAATGTCAACCCAGTTTCTTAACGTTGCTGCTGTACTAATTAATAAGCCTGTGCGGTAGTTAGCTGCTACCTTGAGGCGTTAGGGAAGGCGACCTTCCTAAGCACTGCTATACCCTGGGAGAGCGAACTGAAGTTACAAACTGAACAAGCATACTCTGACCCCAAAGAGGAATACGAAAGCTCCTTTCTCCCTTTAGGATTAAATGGAATGGTAGGCACAATCGGATTCTAGATGTTCAGACAGAGTAACAGTTTTGTGCTCTTGAGAAAGTGATTTGACCTTTCAATGTGTTTAAATTGTAAAACAATGGAATTATTTTATGTTCGCTTGTAAAAAATTAACACTGCTGTTTTATATTCCACACATACTTTATGTTCAGATCGAGGACAATTGGCCTATCCCTCACATTGCCTTCTAAGATACTGTTAGTCTTTGCATATTAGTGTAGGGCTCTGCATTGTGAAACTTCCAGCCTGGGGGAGGGAGAGTGTTGGTTGGGAGTGGCCGTTGTGTATCAGCCAGGATTGTTTTAACCTAGTCCCGTGCTTTCTCTTTCCCCAGATTCTAGGTGTCCCAGTCCCCTCTTAAGAATCATTGTTTTAATTAGCCCCTGTTGTCAGAGGCAGGTCTAAGATGAGGCTAATGAAATTGAAGCTTCAGATGTTTATGTGCTTAGGCCTCTGGAAATGTTGAGAGTTACTGGGAATTCTAGATGTTCTAGGTGGGCAGGGAATGACAGATTGCAACCAGAAGCATTTCTAAGTTAGCATTTCTGGTAAATTGCCTAAAGCTATCTCAGAAGAAAGGAATCTAGATCTCCAAGTCTCCGGAGAAGAGTTGTTGAGATTTCTTTTCCCATTCTAAATCGACATTTGTTTTTCTATCTAATTTTGTTTTGTTGAGTTTGGATTCTTTTTAAAAGGATGTAAGCTTCAGCTCCACACACCTGGATCCACACTACCTGTTAGTGCTTTATAACTACATGTGTTGGACCCTTAGAAAAATGTTAAGAACCACTTTTACAGAGACTGGCCACGTAGATTAAGGTAAAGATGTAATGTTGGTTAGAGTCTGAAAATACTTGGAAAAAATTTAAGTTAGCTGCCTGCTTATAAGTTGAATTTTACAACCATTAACCACAGTTAGTTAGACAAGCAGATTTAAGAAAGTCCTCTCCATTTGGACTGCTCTCTCTACCACTCCCTTTTTAGCCAGCTCCTCTGTAGACCTCTCCCACTGACCAGTTTACCCTGAGATACTTTCAACAATTACTTCTAAAGTATACTATTGCTACCCTTTAGTACTTTGAGATCCCCTACTTTAATATTCAGCTTACATTTGTCATTCCTTCTTCCCTTAGATTATTTGTGAATATATATCATAATCTCCTCCAGAAGCTTTTTAAAGAGTAGAATCTTTGGCTTATTATTAATTCTTCTCTTCCCACAATACCTTACAAGCGCATGGCAAATACATGTTAAATCTTTTTGTGTAAGATACTGTGCTGAGTATTTGGAAAAAAGAGAGACATGATTCAGTCTTGGAGTCCAGGTGGAAGATGTGACAGAGACTCTAAATGGCAATATAAATCAGGAGAGATGGGAAACAAAACAGTATTTTTCGGAGTTTTCAGGTAATCTAGTGAGAGGAAAATGATACCAAATCTCAAGAGACCATAGGGAATGCAGAGGATATTGACTTAAAAGAGTAAATATAGATGTTGGAAGGTAGGGGAACATGACCAATGATTCAAAAACAGAAAAAAGAAAAAGGATAAAAATTATAATGTTAGTGTAAGAATAGTGTTAGGACTGGGCCAAAATGACGTGTGGCTTGCAAAAAATTTAGAGAAAAGAGTCTGGTTTCTCTATATTAAAAAAAAAGAAAAAAAGTTCTTTTTTGGAAATGTTAAAATAACTAGCCTTTATTTTTATTAAATACTGTAATGTGTAGAAGGAGGAGCAACTGAAACATAACTAAGGTAACTAGGTCACAGTAAAGCAGTGGGGTACTTATCTGATTCTCGGTAAATGATAGATATTGTTATTGGTCTTTTTAAAAGGTATTCAGGACCATAAAATAAGATCTGTATCATCTAAGATAAACAGGGGATCTACAGATATAATTATCCTCATCACTGCTAGGCATGTTTAAGATGAGCATGGTGCACCAAAACTAAAAAAAAAAAAAAATTCTTTTTTTAATACAATGGGCAAAAAGAAGTTCTGGAAGGTATAGGCAGGCAAAATTTCAATCTCCAGCAAAGCTATCAAGCCTATGGAACTATTTAGTATTTTGTTTATAAACACTTTGGAAAGAAAGAGGTGATCTGGTTTTATAACAATACAATAATAGAAAATAGTTCTGTGGTAAATCAGAAATATAACAATGAGCATGTTTATTTGAACAATGCTTTTGAAAGAATCACTCATTTGCAAAAAAGGTTACTTTCGAAAGAAGAATATAGTTGTTGAGACATCCAGCTCCTATATATTGGATCTCTGTCAATCCCGACATAGTGGAGGGACATAATTGTAGTATTCAATAATTATATCAGATACTTAGTAGAAGATATTGGAAGTTTGGTTATTAATTTTTCATATTTGTTCCCTGAACTGTCTCTATTGAGTTCCTGTTGTGTGCCTGTATCAGTCATGGCCCTGTTAAGAATCAGAATTCTCTCCGATGACTTAAATGAAGAATGTTTAATGCAAGAACTACTTACAGGATTTGGGGCAGGGTTCAGGAACACACAAGGGATACTGAGGTACTTAGAAACTTGCAGAGGCAAAAAAGCCATTAGTACCCAGAGTTTAATGGGAAGAGAAATAGATATGGTGTTGCTGGAATCCAGTGAGAACTGGACCTGTAGCGAAGGGGCCACTTCCACAGGAGCTGTATATACAGAGAGATGTCCGTAGAAGTGTACCCCTGCCAGAAACGTGGTGCCGAAGCAAGGAAGAAATAGTATATTCCCTGAGCTCCTCTTCTGCTGCTCTTGGATCTCCTGCTTGTGACCTGCCCTGGGCAAGTGGCTCAGGTGATGTCATCCACCCCAAGAGTAGATGCTGGGAGCCGGGAGGTTGGGAGTGGAAATAAAGAATAACCAGCATAATACATAGTACCAAAGTGTGGCAAGTAGCTTTGGATAAAGATAACCACATCTCTATCTCCTGTCCCATAGGCTCTTCTATACAGTGACCTGCCACCTTCCTAATTAGAGGTGGGATCTCTGCCCCCTCCTTGAATCTAGCTGGGATTGTGACTGCCTCACCAATACGGTCTGGTGGAAATGATACCGTGCAGCTTCCAGGGCTAGATGATAAAAGGCGGTGCAGGCTGTGCTTTGTCCAGTGGGACACTGTACTGTTCGGAGCTGATATGTAAGAAATGTCTGTATTGGAAATCCTGGCTCCACTGCTTGATAGCTTTGTTTCCTTGGGCAAATTACTTAACCTCTCAATGCCTCAGATTCTTCATCTGTAAAATGAGGGCAGATAATAAATATGAAGATGAAATGAGTTACTATATGTAAAGAGCTTGTGAATAGTTCCTGGCCTTTAGTAAACACTCTTGACTGTTGATCAGCTATACACAGCCGTAGGATTCTCTTGTCCAAAAAGATGTGCAACAATGGACATGTTCTGTATCTGCCTGTCTACAGGAGCAGCCACTAGCCACAGGTGGCTTGTGAGCACGTGAAATGCAGCTAGTACATTGGAGGAACTGACCTTTTAATTGTATTTAATTAATTTACATTTAAATATAAGTAGCCGCCTGTGGCTAGTGGCTATCAGTTTGAGCAGGAGAAGACTAAACAAATCTTTATTTCATTACAGGCTTGACTTATGGTTACTCAAGAAGTATTCTTGAATGAATGAGTAGTTCCTTGGTGATCCACACTGAAATATGTAAAATACACACATGCATCGTACACAACATATGCACACACATATGTGCTTACATATATGTGCAGTGTGTGCATGCATGGATTATGTATGTATTGTGTGTGTGTATAGTGTGCGAGCGTGAATGTATGTGAATATTTGTGTGTATATGCTCAATTGTCCAACTCACTTAAAATCTAGAATGCAGGATTACAGCAGTCAGGTCATGTGTTCTCCTTTCCCGGTCTGTATCCTGATCCTGCCTCAGTGGGTGTTAAAATTTTGATGGTTAAAAAAA